CTACCCAACTGAGCTTCCAGCTAGGACTCCAGTCAATTTTAAGTAGAAGAAGATACAGCCCAGGAACAAACAGCCATCACTGTTCCCTGCCTCTCTTGCCTGCCTCTCTTGCAATGTTTTCTTATTTGCATTTTTATCTACATAGAAAAGTCAACATGAGTATTTGTTTTAAATTTGGAACTTCCATTTCTATTTATAAATTACTAAATTATATTAAGATGACTAAATCTGTATTACTGTCACTGTGATTTTGACCCGGTGTTTTCCCTGCCCTGCTTCATGTTGGCTTGTAGTGTTCTGTTTATACTTACACATTATGTACTTATGTCCATTGTTTAGCAGGCTCTCCTTTCTAGTGTCTCATTTATTAGACACTGTGTTCTGAATGTCTGAGCATAGATTTTCAACTTGCTTGTTCTTCCTGACTCAGAAGAAAGCATCATATTAAAATAATAGTAGGATATTCATGTTTTAAGGGATAATATATATAATCTAGTTAATCTACCTTTAGTTCTTGGGATAATATTTTAAATTTTTCTCATGTTTAACTAGATCCTTTTGGTACAGTGACAGAACATGGTGAGAAAGTTCACATTTTGAAGGTTTTTTTTTTTTTTAAGGTTTTAGCTATTGAGGTTGCACTCATTATTTTTTTTCTAAAAACTACTTTTTTTTCCTCCAAAAATGATCCCTTTGAAATTTGGGGAAGTACTAAGTTTTCTCTTAATCATACCAATTATGGTAACTTGTTTATAACATCGAGTTATTATGATTGTCACATAGTGGCCCAAATTAAGGTAGATATATTTATGTGGGTTAGAAGTAAAAGAGACAGTAGTTGATGGTAGAGAATTTTAAAATAATAATCACTTAAAGACAAAAAATGTTATAATCAGAGGAAGATTTTTAGGGTAAAGCAGAATAGTTACATCACAGGTATGAATTATTTTTAGCAAGTTTTAATATAATCCAGAAAAGACAGCAACTTCAGAGAGACTGAGATATTTGGATGAAAAATATATTAATGCAATAGAGATGGATAACACCTTTTGTCACCATCTGTCAATATCATTGTCTGTAATTACATGATCACTAAGAATCTTTCTGATTTTAATGTTTTCTTATTTGCATTTTTATCTACATAGAAAAGTCAACATGAGTATTTGTTTTAAATTTGGAACTTCCATTTCTATTTATAAATTACTAAATTATCTTAAGATTACTAAATCTATATTAAATTTTGTCATACCAGGAACTTTAGAACTTCTTTGCATGAAAAAAAGATAATAAATTCTCTGTTTGATAATGGAAACCTGTGAAAATGGAAAGTGGGGTCATTTAGGTACTGGGAGTGCAATGGGATAACTTGGGGTATGAAATGCAGTTATAGGAAAGACAACATAATGAGGAAAGGCTTTGTGGAAATAGGGACATTTAAGTCTGGCCTTAAGAATGTTAAGAAAAAGCCGAGCACCGTCAACATCTATACTAATAAAAGGGTAATATTCTTATTAGACCAGATAGAATGGATATCATCCAGATGTCCGTCCTGACAAAGAAGGGGCATGGCTGGCCTGCAAACCACCCGTGGCCCTTTGCCCAGGCTGACCCTGTCCCACATTGGGAACCCCCCACCCCGATCCGGGGTCCCCTTCAGGGCAGGCCAGCCAGCTCACACCCATGCACCAGGCCTCTATCCTATATAATAAAAGGGTAATATGCAAATTGACCTTAATGGCAGAATGACCAGAACAACCACTGGACCAGTCACTATGGGGAGCACTGACCACATCTTGGTCCCTTCCCTTGTCTATCAGGCACTGATCACCCAATGGCGAATGTGGAACCAGGGGGTGGGTGGAGGTGGTGGCAGGGCCAGCTGCAGGGCAGCTAGCCCTGATCGCAGGCCAGGCCTAGTGACTGTACTTGCACATAAATTTTGTGGGCCAAGTCTCTTCTACACCAATAAAAGGGAAACATGCAAATTGACCATACCTCTGCTATGCCCACCAGCCAATCAGGGCGAGTATGCAAATTAACCCAACAGAGACAGCAGGGGCCACAGAGCTGGAGGCATGGGTTGCCATCGGCGAAGGAGGAAGCCAAGCTTCCTGCCTGCACTGGCTACTGCTCAAGGATGGGCCAGGGCCTGTGTCACCAGGGACCTAGAGAGGCGGGTGGGTAGCACCAGACGCCACCTGCTGGGTCCGGACCTCGACTGGGGACCCGGGGAGGTGGGGTGGCCAGCGTCAGACGTCGCTGCCAGATGCTGCCCATGGGTTAATTTGCATATGCAGGCACGGGGCGAAGACTGAAGACAACTGAAGACTGAAGAGGCTTGGCTTCTCTGCTGCAGCTGGACCAAAGGCCTGGGTCCTGGCTGCCAGAGGAAAACCGGTGCCGGCAGCCAAGGGAAGGAAGACCTATTGCGTGAATCTTCATGCAACAGGCCTCTAGTTAATAAATATTAGCCTTGGACATGGAAGCAAAAGGAGGCTCTTAAGAAATATAATCAGTGTATTAGGGTTTATCCCTGCATAGAAAGTAATAAAGCTACTTTTAAGACCATTTGGTCACTGACCATAAAACTTACATTTAATACTTAACATCACATATTTGAAGCAATTTAAAAGGATTTCTTTGACAGCACACTTGAAAAGTCAAAGCAAGAGCAAATTAAAATCACCAGTTTTTTCCCACTGGTCTTGTCCAAGTTCCCTTCAGATATTGATTGGAATGAACTGATATTCAATATGTGAGTTCTTATTTTTTCTTTTCCTTTTCCATCTTTTTTTTCTGCCTTTTTTGCTTTTGAGTACCTGAGTCTAAGTAAAGTTAGTTCTTTGAGTAGCTATGGAATAATCTAAACTTATCTGCTTCTTTTTTTGGAAATTATATTTTCCATAAATATGTGTTCTAAAAATGTATCTCCCTGGTAACTATTTCTTTTATAACTTTTATGGGCTTCTAATTCAGGTCAAAATTGGCATTTTAATATTTTACAAAATGATTTTAAGAGGTCTGTTTTAACAGGAAATGAACAAGGGGAATGCTCTTTTGAAATCTGGCTTGAAACTTGAGATTGTTAGATACTAGGACAGGAGGCTATAAGGAATAGTGGTGTTTTGTACTCTACTTCAGATAGAAAAGCAATGATTCAAAACTATAAAAGTTTGAAAAATGATCAAATAATTGATGAAGACAGCAATAATAAAAAGAATAAATATTGTAAAACTTGGAAAATAAATTGATGACTTTGATACATTAATTGATAAATAATTTAATATTTCACTTGATTTAAAAACATTAGTTCTTTGCAGCTGGAAGAATCCATGAATACTAATATTCCTATTTCCTGGAGAGGAAATAGATATCCATGTATTTATAAAATAGCAACAAGGTCATCTGTTCTTCACGGGTGATGAGGGCACTATAATTTTCAGTCCTTTCCTGTGACTAAATCTGTTTTCACACTCAAAATAGATCTTAGTGATTTGTATCATAGTAGATGTGTCATATGGAGCCAAAATTTAAATTTCTGTCTAGTTTTCCATAATAAGAACATATCACATCTCATTTCTGTTCTACTGTCAGGTATTTAGATCACTTCTATCTTCCCTTCCAAATTTAAATGAGTCTTCAACAAACACACTTCTGAATGCTTTCTGGACAGTTTTGCTCAGTTGTTCATAAAGTTTTATATGAACAGACTTAAAATTGTACTTTTATGAAGTTGATAAGTGAGAATAGTATTTCATTACTGTTTAGTTTGCATTTCCCTGAATATTTTTATATATGTTTTGGCCAGTTGGAATTTCCTTTCTGTATATTGCTTAGTCAAAGTTTTTGCTGTTTTAGAAAAATGGGTTACTTATATATTATTGATTTACAAGATTCATAAATACCCCCATTTTGCCACTTTTAAAGATATTGATTCAAATGGAATTTGTCATAGAAATTTAGACGTATTATATGTTTTTTACAAATTTGCCTTTTGTGCTTTGCTTAAAGAAATGTTCCTACTTAAGATATAAACCCATAAATTTTTCTTAAATATTTTTCTTATTTTACCTGGTACATTTGCATCTTCAGCCATATAGAACATAATTTTTTGTGCCTTTGAGGAATATATTTGTTCCCCAAAAGGAGATTCAAAGTCCTAACATCAGTTACCAATAAGTCCGTTATTTCACATCAGTTTGAAATCCCAGCTTAAACATGGAATGAATTCCAGTATATTTATGTGTTTATTTATTGACTGCCTTTAAGTCCACTGTTGTGTCTTTATCAACAACTCTTTCGATGCCATAGCTTGATAACATATTTCTGTTCTGAGAAGGAAGGGAGCAGGCCTAAACCAGCAGGTCGTTATCTCCCGAGGGGTCCCAGACTGCGAGAGGGCACAGGCCAGTTCAAAAGAACTTTTAATTGTTTATTTTAAACAAATTGTACTACAGCTCAGGACAATTGCAATTGGAGTTTTGTGATAGTTCCAGAGATTTTGCAAGAAGTTAGATCTCAGGGAATTGCTTGGGGTTGATGGATGGAATTCAAATAAGAAATCCATGAACTCCCTAAAATCCTATTAAAATGATCTTTGTATGCCAAATGTTCATTTTTCTAAAACAATTTCATAGGAATTCAGATGAAAAAGACATTGTTCTATTAACATTATAACCCTTCACAAACAGGCTAATCAATGTGTAGGATTTATTTTTTATAAAACTGAACTTTGGGTTTAGCAATTTTGTGATATATTTCAGATCAGGTTGCAGAGGAAGAGTAAGAGATGGTGTATAATATTTTGCACCAAAGAAACTCTTCCTTGTGACTAAAATATTCCAAGGACTTGGGTCAATGAGAGTGCAGTAAGCCTGGTAAGGAAAAAAAGTGGTTCAATTCAAGGAGCTGCAAGGTGGTGAAACAGATGGAGTGAAAAAGGATTTCTGGATGCAGTTTGCTCCTTCAAGAGTGTGTCCTAAGAGCAAGCTCCAGAAAGGATGATTGAAGGACAAAGAAGGTGAGAACTCCTGAGTTAGACTGGAAAGTGAACTGGGAAATAAGGTCAATTTCAGGTAGCGGTAAATGCATTAAAAGTCCCTACAATGTAGCAACACTTCCCCCCAAAGACCTGCTTGTTGCTCTTTTTCTCCCTCCACTTAAAAAATATGTTCATGAAAAGGTTCTTTTTAAAAAAAACTTTTTTTGAATTTTTTGGGTTGACCTTGGTTAATAAAGTTATATATATTTCAGATGTACAATTCTACATATGTGTCATCTGTATATTGTATTGTGTATTTACCACCCAAAGCCAACTCTCCTTCTATCCCCATTTATCGTCCCTTCACCCTCTTCTACCTTCTTCCACCCCACGTTCCCTCTGGTAATCACCACACTGTTGTCTGTGTCTATGAGGTTTTTCTTTTTCTTTGCTTAAGGTCTTTACCTCGAAAAATGTGTAAAGGTTCTATGAGCACTTTCTGAAATTGTCACCCAGATGTCCAATATCTAAATTTATGAGCTCACTGAAGTCTAAGGACAATACTGAACTTTCAGGATTTAGCACAAGTTTAGTCATTGGAAAGGACTGAGAATTATAGCGTTGTCACAGCCCTTGAAGATCAGATTTAAAAATCACTCTTAAGTTATTATACTAAAAATTGCATCTCAAAAATTTTTCAGAAAAAGGACTTTTCCTCTTTTAAGTATTCAGTGTGTTGTTCATGGTACATGTGGTACTTGGGATTTATCATGATTGCAATTAATTGATTATTTGTTCTTTTTTTAAAAATATATTTTATTGATTTCTTACAGAGAGGAAGGGAGAGAGATAGAGAGTCAGAAACATCGATGAGAGAGAAACATCGATCAGCTGCCTCCTGCACACCCCCTACTGGGGATGTGCCCGCAACCCA